ATCACAGAGGCTGTGGACCATATCTAAAGGATCCGTGGTTGTGAGGTGTGGTGACTTAGGGAAAGCCCAAGCTTCAGGGACTGATGTTGTTGTTAGGTGCTTCCAACGAATGGCTGATGAATTTGAACTGCTGACCACGAGGTTCAAAGTGCATTACCCCACAGCACCATACCAGAACCCCCAGGGACAGATGGCCTACCTCTAAACTCTGAGAGGAAGGGAGAAGCACTCAGTAAGTCCTGTTCAGGCTCAGAGGCAGTGATATCAGATCCTTGGAGAACTAAGCCCTTGTCATTTTCTTTCCAAAATTGCAAATTGTCTAGTTCACATTATAGATTAATTGCCTGAAAAAGTTTGAGACTGTCTATGTTAACCCTTTGGTTTCCAACACTGTTGGCAAACAGCTGCTTCTGCGCCAGCAGAGCTGTCACAGTTCCTTTAGTGGTGCCCCAAGTGCCCAGCTCAAGGCTCCATTCTGGCTCACAGTGCCTTAGCCTGGAGTACATTCTGAAGCCTAGGAATAACAGAGAGAAATGTTCAATGCTGTTGAGTTAGAGCTGAGTCGGGTATGGGAAGGGTGAGCTTAACTGTCCAGGGTTGGGGGAGAAAGTTATGCATTGCTCCTTGGGGTGAGCAGTAAGGAAGAAATGTAAGGAAAGAATCAAACTATACAATCCACACAGAAAGATCAATAATTGCTGGCAAGAAATCTCGGCTGCAGCTTTCCCTCTGTGGCTCACCCATGAGTTCAGGAGACTCACGTGGCTGGCTCCCAGCCCAGAAAAAACCCCTCCCAGAAGTGCTGTTGGCAGTAGACTAGGTCTCCATACTCCATCCTTCAGTATTCCCTCCTCCCAGAGAAAAGTACTGGAGAAGAATAAGTAGATCTGGGTAGGTATGCTTACTCTGAAACACACACACACACACACACACACACACACACACACATCTATCACAGAGGCTAAAGGAGCTTTGAGTATACATTTGCAAGAGAACACATGCAGAGGACAGAGACAGAGAGAGACAAAAACTAGAAAGAGAAGGAGGGGTAGTGCAACACAGTCAACAGAAATAAACAGATGTCTACGTACATTAAAATACTACTGTGCAAACATACACAATAAAACTAACACAGATAGGAATGGGACACATGGGAAATCAAAGAGAGATCAGGAGCCAATGAACTTTTTGTGTATTGAGCTAGTACGACCGTTGGAGTGGAGTCCTGACAGAGTTCTCGTGGTGTGTCACTATAGGTTAAGCACTCGACCACAAAGTCGGCTTGAACCACGAGGTCGGCAGTTCAAACTCACCAGCCACTCCTTGGAAACCCTATACAGGGTCACTATGAGTTGGAACAAACTTGACAGCACTTTGTAACAGTGGAGTCCTGGTGTGGCATCGTAGGATAAGTACTGAAATGCAAACTGCAAGGTTGGCAGTTTAAACCTATCAAGCTGCTCCTCAGAAACCCTATGCAGGGTAACAATGAGTAGGAAATGACACAAAGGCACTTAACAGCAACACCAACAATAGCTAGTCACTATAACTCTCCCCAAATGACTGGGTAAAACGATGCAAATTAGGTACTTGAAGCCCACCAAGGGGTCTGGATATCTTGCTAATAATGTTAATAAGGTGCATGGCACCCTTGTGGGGTTGTTGCTGTTGTTAAATGCCATAGAGTTGGTTCTGACTTATAGGGTTTCCAAGGAGTGGGCTGGTGAGTCTGAACCATCAACCTGTGGTAAGCAGTCCAGGGATTATCCTATAGTACCACAACAGGACTTGCAGGGGTAGGACTATGCAAAAAAGGTATTTGGAACCTATGATGGTTGGGACTCTCAGCTTGGCTAGGGCAAGTATTATATGGCTGGCCTACATTTTGTTACCTGATGTAATTCTTTTCCATTGTGGACTATAAATCCAGACTTGTATGCATTATAAGGAGTCCTGGTGTAGCGCTGCAGGATAATGCACTAGAATACAACGTCAGTTTGAACCACAAGGCTGGCAGTTCAAATCAACTAGCTGCTCCTCAGAAACCCTAGACAGGGTTGCTATGAGTTGAACCTACTTGGCACTTAACAACAAAATGTATTAATAAACAGCATGAGGTTATGTTGGACTCCTGGTGTGATGCTGTAAGATCAGCACTGCACTGTGAACCACAAGGTTGGCAGTTCAAACCCACCAGCTGCTCCAGAGAAACCCTGTATAAGGTTGCTATTAATTAGAAAGAATGATTGGCACTTAACAACAAAAGGAGGTTATGTTAATGAAAAATTGTTGTCAGGTGCCATCGAGTCAGAACCCCATGCACAGCAGAACGAAACAATGTCCTATCCTGGGCCAACCTCACTACCACTGCCACACTTAATGAAAAATAGGTTATGTTTATGTTAACAAGGTAGGACTGCTGTTGTTGTTATGTGCCATTGAGTCGGTAGGGTTTCCGAGGAGCGACTGGTGAGCTTGAACCGCCAACCTTGCAGTTCAAATGGCTTTGCAGTCTGGCACATTAACCCATAGTGCCACACCAGGATTCAAGGTAGGATTAGGGTGGGATATACTCAAGTCATCACCCCTACTCAAGTGTCACACTTTTTTTTTCAATCTTACTAGAGATGAAAGGACAGAGAGGCAAGCACAGAGAGGGGACCAGACTACGACCAAAATGAGATGGAAGTGGACCTAGGGTCCACTGTACTGGGAATGTCCTATACCCAGGAGACAAGAGAGTTGTAACAGCAGATACAGTGAGAAGCAATAGTAGAGAAACAGTGGCAGCAGAACCAGGAGATTGGCAGGAGGCAGTGGAGAGGGCTTCCTGGATTACTGATGGAGAGACCTGAGTGGATCTTCAGGGAGGAGGAACATGACGGAGCTAGAAAGCTTTGTTAATACTTGCCCAAGTAGGGTAGAGATCAATTGGCCCTGGAGGTTTAGTCTTTCCTGATCTTGAATCATAACCTGTTAATTCTCTAATAAACCCCACAATTGTCTAGTCTGTGTGTGTGGAATTCAGCAGAGAAGCAAAGTGCTGTGGGAAAGATGATGGTGTCATATTTGGTAAAAAGGCTGCACAGCAGAGGCATGTCTGTCCTCCGCCTCATAGGAATCAGCCTTGATTCTTCCTCCCTCGCTCCCATTCTTAAAGCTCGATAGCAGTTTAGACCTTGTAGGCCACATGGTCTCTGTGACAACTATTCAAGTCTGCTGTTATTGTGTGAAAGCAGCCATAGACAAAATGCAAATAAATGTGCATGGCTGTGTTTCAGTAAAACTTCATGGACACTGAAATCTGAATTTCATTTCATTTCCATAATTCATAAAATATACTTCTTCTTTTGATTTTTTCCAAACATTTCAAAATACAAAAACTTCTAGCTTGTGACTACACAAAAACAGGCAGCAAGCCACAGTTGGTGGACCCTGACATAGACAAATGCACAGCAGAAGTAGACAATGAAGAAGCAGAATAACAGAGGCAGGCAGGCAGGGACAAGCTGAGACAGGCAGAGACAGGCAAGGTAGGAAGGCAATAAGTGACACAGGCAGGCACGGGCAGGCAGGCAGACTAAGGTCCACATACACAGAAATCTCCCTCACACAGACAAAACCCAGACACAGAGACAAAATCATAACCTGACATACACAGATGTAGTCATGGATAAACATGGACAGAGACACAGGCAACCTTGGACACAGACATTCAGAAACACTCTCACTGGACGCAGATACACACATGGACACAGATGTGGACAAACACTGACAAGATCTGACACAGACCCAAAAGCAGACACAGACAGATATGAGTAAAGACACACAGAGACATGGAGACACATACAAACAGGAAAACAAATCCCTAGTTGAGACACATAAAACCCTCAACAACCAAGGAAACGCAGAGGTACAGACAAACAAATGGCCATGAACAAAGATACAGATATGAACAATCACATGGACACACATGGATACAGCACACATGGAAACAGACACAAAGACAAGATACGGACAGACATACCAAATGGTCCCTAAACGGATGGACTCTCAGCAAAGACACAGCCAGACCCTTAGACACACTCACACAGACTCACAGACACACACACAGAATCAAACACATATAGAATTACACACAAATAGACACAAGAAATAGCCATACAGACACACCCAGGCAGACGCCTTGGAACAACACACCCCACACTGACAAATACCACACTGACACACAGACACAAGGGAGTAGTAAGTATGGTGAGGAGACAGGGAATGGGTGTTCTCCCACCCTACACACTACCATGTCGTGAGAGAAAGGCAAGGAGACAGAGGTGTAAGACAGCATAAGAAGCAGTGGTGATGGTGCTTATGTGCCGTGGAGTCCATTCCAACTCATAGCGACCCCGTACAGGATTTCCGAGGCTGTAGATCTTTATGGGAGCAGAAAGCCTCATCTTTTTCCCGAGAAGCAGGTGGTAGTTTTGAACTGCTGACCTTAAGGTTCGCAGCCTGATTCGTAACCACTACGCTACCACAGCTCCTTAAGAAGCAGTGAGGGAGCCTGAAAGATACATGGAGAAAAACTGAAAGGAAAAGAAAGCGGCAAAGACAGTCCACATACATATCAACAAGCACCCAGACTCAAGATGCAGCTGCAGAGAAGATATGAACAAGATAAAGTGAAAAAGAGAGTGAGAGCAAGGACACAGAACCAAACAGAGAACAAGCTATTGGGGGGCGGGGGTGGGGGGGTGGGTAAAAAAGAGTAAGATGGATTCTGAAAGAGGAATAGATGAGAAAAACAGGCAAAAATGTCCTAATATACAGGGGACAAGGAAGGTGCTCCAAGAGTAAAAAAAAATTTAAATGAAGAGGAACAGAAAAATAAGTGGGTTATTGATGTGAGAAACAAAGAACAGGACTGGATGGGAGCTTCAGAAGGGTGTGTACACAGGTGGGTGACGACAACGACCAGTAGTGTACTAAAGGAAGTGCTGACTTACTGTGACGGCAGATCCAGGGATGTGGGTGGAGGGTTCCAAGTGTCTGGATAGCCAAGCATCCAATCTGACCAGACTTTCACGCTGGGGAGCAGTTCCTTCAGGTCCGGGACGAAGGAAGACACCTTGATGTCATCTTGGTCATCCTTGTCCTCTGGAGAGGACAGATGAGCTGCAGAGGCAAAGGGTGAGAACTGGGCCTTGGTCTGCTGTGGCCCCCGAGTGAGGCCTGGGGCGCTGGGACGGCAGTAAGCACTTAAGGAAGAGAGACCAAGTCCACAGGAAAGCTGGGCCCAGAAGCGAAGGACAAGTGCCAGCACCTAAAAGGATTCTGAAAGGCAGGACAAAGAGAGAACCAGTGCACTAGGTTTGCCCCTGTAGACAACTGTGTCTGCTTAACCTGTGGCCTGGCTGACATCTCTACTCTGGCCTCCTGCCCACCCTTTTAGCGTTCTTTCAGCACAGTACCAAGATGGCCCCAGAGTTACTGGCAAAACTGCATAACCTGAATTTAATCATAAGGAAACACTGGACAAACCCAAATTGTGAGACATTCTACAAAATAAATGGTTTGCATAATTCAGATATGTCAAAGTCATGAAAAACTAAGATGAAGAAAACTCTTCCAAAGTAAAGGAGACTAGAGAGACACAACATCTAAATACAGTGTATAATCCTGAATTGTCTTAGACTAGGAAATCCTAAAAGAATTGGTAAAAATTTAATAAAGTCTACAGTTTCAATATTATTACTGTATCAGTATAGGTTTCCTGATTTTGATAACTATACTGTCATTATGTAAGAGACTGTTCTTGTTATCAGGCAAAACAGTCCAAGATTTAGGGGTCAAAGGGCTACAATGACTATAATTTACAACCATATGGTTCTGAAGAAAAATTATAATAACAAGAATAAAAGTTTATTCTTCTATTGATTACAGCAAATATGGTCAAATGTTAACAATTAGGGAATCCAGGTGAAGAGTATTTGAGAATTCCTTGTGTTACTCTTGCAATTTTTCTGTAACTTTGAAATTATTTTAAAATAACAAATCACACCCCCTTACCCTGCCCCAAAAAAGGTGGTGTGAGTCTAGAGGTGTCTGAAAAGTTGCTGTGGCAGGGGTAGGCAGCGGGGCGGGATAGGCCTCACTACTCACCAATACCGATCTAGAAGCTGAAAGAAGGGTGAGATCTTCAGTCCTACCTTACAGAGCTACAGTAATCAGGCTTAGAATTCTAAGGATATGGTATATTACCTCAACCCAAAGGTTAAAAATAGCTCCTGCTCTGGTCCAGTGAGTCTCCCAAGGTGGTTCATCTACAGTGGTTATCACTCACCAGGTACCATAGTCAGATGGGGTCAAATAAAATCCAAAATGTCAAAGATGAACAAAAAGGGAAAATAATTTTCCTGATTTTTAATAGTAGCAATGAAAACTTTAAGTACTAAAGAAGAAAAGATGGAGGAAACAGTTCCACAAGGAGAAAAAAGGGCCTTAGAGGTGATCAGACTACAAAAAGAGAAGGGACAAGGTAGGGGGCCAAAAGGAAGGGGCATGTTGGGAAAAGGGAGACCAGAGAGAGAGTAGCGGGAGAAGACACTGAGAAAGTAGTCTGGAACTCAGGGACTGTCTGGGCACAACAACCCACACTCAGGTATGCCTTTCATCTACTTACCTTTGGCGGACTCCTTAAGTAAGTAGGTGCAGCGTCGCACCAGTAGGGAAAACATGGCCAACCCCAGACCTGTGGCCTGCTCTTGGATCACAGACCGGCCTTCCTCAGAGAAGCAGTCTGAGGAGAGACAAATGGAACTCCATCAGTATCCTGAGATCCAAGGGTCAGGTCAGCCTTCCAGAACAAGTCTTGGCGTTTGTGTCACATATATAGTGGGTCTTCCACTGGTGACACAAAACAAAACTTAACTGGAAAGGACTCTGTCTTGATTAGAACTATTTCATCATGACTTTTATTTTGAAAACACAATGTTCCTCAGTCCCAGTTCCTACTATAGAGGTAAAATGACACAGCAGTTAATAGACATTGCTTCCTAATGGACTTTGTAATAGACATTGCTTGGTTGTGGCCAAATTACCCATTCTCCTCTTCTTCATCTAAGATTGAGAGGTGCAATATTCCTTCTCTCAAAGAGTAACTGTAAGGTTAAATGAGATAATGCAAGTGAACACTTATCATAGTGCTTAGCATATGGGTAAGCAAGTAGTTGTTGTTGTTGTTATGTGCCATGGAGTCAGTTCTGACTCATAGCGACCCTGTACAGGGTTTCTGAGGCTGTAAATCTTTATGGGAGCAGAAAGCCTCATCTTTCTCCCGCGGAACAGCTGGCAGTTTCGAACTACTGACCTTGTGGTTCACAGTTCAATTCGTAACCACTAGGCTACCAGAGCTCCTTAAGATTGTTGTTGTTGTTAAGTGCCGTCGAGCAGATTTCGACCAATAGCAACCCTGTATAGGGTTTCCAAGGAGCAGCTGGTGAGCTTGAACTGCTGACCTTGCAGTTCAAACAGCTTTGCAGTCTGGTGCATTAACCCACAACGATTGATATTATAATCATAAGGATCATTTCTGCAAATTCTACTTCCCATCATTTCCCCAGGACCAATTACCCCAAGATGGTCAGTCTAAGTTAGAGCTTCAGGGTCTCTCTGCCTTTAGTTGGCTACTGGTAATATGAAGCTATAGTAAACAGCACTGATACTTAATACACTCAAGTCTCTAATATGCCAAAAAAACACCCTCATTCATAGCAACACTGTATAGGGTTTCCAAGGCTGTAAATCTTTACGGGAGTAGAAATTCTTATCTTTCTTCTTTCAACTGCTTCCTATAGCACCACCAGAACACCACAACAGCAAAAGCAAAAAAACCAATTAAGTTCAGGAAATACCAATTTTTTAATGATCATTAATGGTGATGGAAACAGTGCATGGTTAAAAGGTAAGGTTGCAGAGCTGATTACTAAAATTGCTGTCAATAAGTTGTATACCCGTAAAAAGTTGAATTGGCAAAAGGTGTGTGATAGATGAAAAGTTTGTGGAGAAATGGAATGGAAAGATAATGGAATTTTCCATAATCTTGTCTGAAGTCCCCTAGTATTTCAGAAGGAAAAAAAAAAAAAAGAGTAGCTGCTGGGGCTGCTTATATATAGCCAAAAACCTCATAGGATTTGTTTCCTTGGTTTAGAGGTTTAGGGTCATGGTTTCATGGGACATCCCAGCTAATTAGCCTAATAAAACGTTTAGTATTTCTGGTTCTACATCCTATTTTGTTTGTTGCAGAGTGAGTGGGGTCTTAAAAGCTTGCGAGTGGCCATCCAAAGCATAAGTGGTTTCTATTCTCCTGGAGCACAGAAGGAGGAGAGCCAGAAATAAGAGGAAGATATGGAGGTAATTCTCCATGAACAACTGCCTCCTTTGCCATGAAACCAGAAGAATTCGATGGTCTTCTGAACATTTTGATCAAAGATTCATCATAAGAATCCTGATCAAAAGGGGGGTAAATGCAGAACAGAATTTCAATTTTTTTTATGGAGCCATGAAGGCTGTATGAACCCCTAAAACTACTGTTCTGAGATAATCTTTACACCTAAAATAAAAAATGTCCCCTGGAGTTTTCTTAAAACCATGCAATAGTTTATCTTAACTAGTAAAAAAGGTCTGCCTTAAGCATTATGTTCTTTAAAGTATTATCTATAGGACATCAAATTGAAAACAGCAATTTCAAAGACTAACTAGGAACCTCAGGGGGCAGTGAGTTTATGTTAGTGGGGTAGAAACAATTGAGAAACGGAGGGTGAGAATGGTTGCACAACTTGAAGAATGTAATCACTCAATGGTACATGTAGAAACTGTTTTGTTGTGCATACTCTCAACAACAACAAAAATATCTTGAATCACCAACCTTTGGTTTCATCCTTACGTCCTCTCTGTTCCTACTCCTGAAATGAATTAATACATTGTTGTTGTTATTGTTAAGTGCCTCCGAGTCAATTTCGACCCAAAGCGAGCCTGTATAGGGTTTCCGAGGAGTAGCTGGTGAACTTGAACCACCAACCTTGCAGTTGGAACGGCTTTGCAGTCTGGCACATTAACCCACAGCGCCACACCAGGACTGTTCCTACTCCTGAGAGAACACATGACACCTACAAATAATGTATTTCCATTAAACAAGTGAACAGCTGGAACAGTGCTTGGCACACAGAATTACTGTTAGCTTTATTTTCACAAATTCCATCCTGTAACTGCAAGACTGGCCATTCAAACCCACCAACTGCTTTTGGAAACCCTAGTACAGGGTCACTATATGTCAGAACCAACTTGATGGCACATGACAACAGGGCCAAGAAAGAAATCTAGCTCCCTACCAATACCCTTTCTTCATTTTTTCAGCCTGTGATCCCCTCTTTCTGGCTGCAGGTAAGTGTAAGATCCACTATGGTACTGATGAAAGTTATTCTTTGATGACAGCTATGAAACACAGTCTAACCCCTGCTTGTACCTACTCCTTATCAGTGGTCCTCCCTGACATCTACTTTCTCCAGTCTTCAGAGGCATCAGTGACAAACAAAAGGCAATCTCCACAGAAGGAGACACCGAACACCCATAGGCGACGGAATCAAGGGTCAGGATTACTAACTCTGGCAGCAATTAATTTGTTAATTCCCTCTGTAATACAGGATGACTCTCAGAATCTCTTAAGTGTTCAAAAGATAATTAGCCACCAGTCTGATCTCTGTCCCTTCCGGTATTTTTACCTCAATAAACAATTAGAAGCCCTCTCTCATCAGCTCACTAGTTTTGTCAATGAGGCCTAACTGAAGTCATTACTCCAGAGATGCTATGTCAATCACAGTTGTACCAACAATCTTTACCACAGGAGTAAATATGATTAGAATATACAAAGTCAGCCCCACACCACTTTGGAAAGCCCTGGGAGTGTGAAGGTCCCAACATATGAACAACAGCAATGTAGCAAATTCTTCTCTTGTGGCTTTCCCAATGTCTTTCCAGATGTCCAATGATCCCAAATGTCACTCTCTAACTCTCCCATTCAACTGTGGCTGTCAGTAAGAAAGTGGTTACAATTTACAGGATCAGAACAGATCCCACTCTTCTCATATTTTTTCTAGTGAAGTCTTGAACCTTGGTTACCAAGAAGCAAGAGGAGGCAAGATGGAAGGCAGGGAGGGGAATATGTATGTGTAAGTCATCCAAAGAAAAATTGTTAACTTCTCCCCTTTACTCCTTACCACCCCGGTCCAATCCAGGTCTTTGCCAAGCCCTGCCAGTAGCTTGACTCTAACTAGCAACAAAGTCTTGAATGGAAATTAAGGCCAGAACAGAGGAAGCTTGGACAGGAAAAGTAGAGCCATATCCTGGTAGTTGAAACACAGAGTAAACATTGTTGTTGCTGTTGTTAAGTTCCATGGAGTCACTTCCAACTCATAGAGACCCTACATAGGGTTTCTGAGGAGCAGCTGGTAGGTTTGAAGCCGACCTTGCGGTTAGTAATCCACTGCTTACCCTATAGCACCACACCAGGACTAGTGCCCTCTCACCTAGGAGGCAACTCCAGCAAAAGTTATCTGCACACAGAAGACCAGAAAGTATGGAAAAGATGTCTTAGTGCCAAGACCTGGTATTTCAAGAAGCACATGACTACAATTCCAGTAAGATACACTAATTAATCTGAATAGGGATAATATGGGGCAGATGTAGATTTCTTTCACAAAGTCCATTTCTATTTCATGACAAATGACAACCTGAGGCTAGAGTGTTTCTCAGAGTTCAAGGTGGGAGGTAAGGCTCAAAGGGGAGAATGAATTCCTTGAGAACACAGGGAAGGCCTGCCCTTTTCTGTGGCTCAGTTGTACCACAGGCAGACACAGAATATCTACAATGTTCTAGTCCCTGGGCTGAGTATTATGCAGAATACAAGTAAAAACAAAGCACAATAGCTGCAACCTTAGGCCTTTTCAACTGGGTGAAGAAGAGTTATTTACTCAGGTAACCATGGTAACTTGGACCCAGTGCCTCAAGTTAGAAATGTTGGATTGGAGTGCTATGGTATCTTCAGATATGCTCTTCACTTCACTTATGCCTCTGTGGGCCAGAAGTCATAAAATGCCACTCCTTGAGAAGTATTCAAGAAATAACATGTAGATTCCTAGTGTCCACCCACTCCGGGTAGTCCTAAAAAACTGACCCTAGTATGATGAATGGCCATATATATCCCTAGAGTTGGACTGGGCCAGGCCAGTAAGTGAGGTGGGGTGGGGAAGGAAAAGGCATTGTTTGCCTTGGTATTTGCCTAGGTTCCTCTGGCTTTGTGTCAGGTAGCAAGAGCCTGACAGGAGCTGAGGAACTCATTAACATTGTGAAACAGCCTTTCCCCTTCTTTCCAAAAGCAGGCTTGCTCAAGGGCTTGGGGGATGGTTTTGGCTGCAAAAGGAAGTCAAATGGAAATATTTCTTATCACCTGAGGTCTGAATCTGGTTCTGCTCCTTCTTACATTCTCTTAGCTGGACAGGTGACCACAGCTCTCCATATTCCTGTGGCCAAATACCTACTCAAGGTAAAAATAGTCTTCTTGCTCTTCTGCAACATTCTGTCTCATTTTTCTGAGAACATATTCATGGAAAACATAAACCAACTGTCGTCAAAGTTGTATGAAATCAGGAAATGGAGCGGCCGGGAGAAGGCTGCCATGTGGCCGGATGTTATGTATTTCTAATTAGTGCTATACATCTTTCAACAGCAAGTGTCCTTCTGCTG